AAGAGCCAATAATGACATCATGAATTCTGGCCAGCGGTCATTTCCAACTTTTCCCCATTCTTGCTCCAGACTCACAAGATCAAAGTGGCAAAATGGCCAAGTGTGGAGCACCCCGCTCTGCAACACCATCACCCAGCGGGACGGTTCTACGTCCTTCACTCCCAAGCCTTGGGTGCCATGTTTGCAACAGCTGAAGAACCCCTGCATCCCTCAAGACAGAGATGCAAATCAAATCAAGATGAATATCTGATATGACACAGCCAAACTCCTACCTACAGATCAGGAGTGAGAACTTACGTTTTCCGCATGGCAGCTTGCACAGTAGATTTTCCTAAATGAAGCAGTTGTGTCACTTCTGGGACCTGTGGCTGCATAACAATTTACCCAAACCTTAATGCCTTACAAGAATAATCATTTTGTTCTGCCTCAGCTTTCTGTCGATCGGCGTCTGGGGCAGAGCTCCCTGGGCAGCTGTGCCTGGCTGTGTGTTGAATGGGTCAGTCACTGATATGAATGGGCGGCTGTGCTGGGCTGCAGGGCAGAGAGCTTTACACACAGGCCTGCAACCAAGCCAGCCTCTTCAGGGCCTTCTGGGAGACTTTCCCAGGAGGCCTCAGCAGCAGAGAAAAAACCAAAATTTCTTTCCTGCCATCAGGAGCCCCAGGGCTAACTAGGGAGGGGGGATGGGTTACTAGACACAATGACTCAATGACTCTCGTAGCCACCAGGATCCCATCTGAGTCTGGGTTTGTGTTCTTGTGTTCTGGCTGCTCTACTTCTCACCCAGCTCCCTGCTCAGCTCTGGCTGTTGTGGCCATTCCAGGAGTGAATCAGCAGATGGAAGGTCTTTCTTTCTGTCTCTCTGTAAATCTGCCTTCACAATACAAAGAAAACATTTTTTTTCTTTTTAACAAAAGTGGGCCTCATCAGAAGCTAATCTGAAAATTAATCTTTAAAAGGTTTTCTGGGAGAGTGTTTTCTCTCTTCCAAAAACTAGGAAAAAAGATAAAAAGCAGAGCTTTATAAACAGTTCTCAAAGCAACATGTAAGTTTCATTTATAAAAACTACAGGTTTTATTTGTTCTTTCAAAGCAATGAGTATTTACGATGAGAAGCCGAGACAAAAACCAGGAGCAAAAGTCAGCGAGGTTTCAGGAGGAAGCCAGGAGCCAGGGACTCAACTGGGATTTCTCACGCGAGGGCTGGACGCCAGGACGGGAGCCGTCATCTTCCACCTTCCCAAGGGCGCAGGTCAGCAGGGAGCGGGGACCAGAAGTGGAGCCAGAACCACCAGGCATAGAGATGCAGTCCCCGTGGCATCCTACACAGGTACCCCTCTCGTAAGTCCCATTTGTCCACTCCTGCTGCATGCGTGAACCAACATGTTATACCACAGATAACACACTGCAGGTCAGTGGAGCTCCCCAGAAACCAACCAGACACCGTTCTCCCAGCCTTCCACTCTCTGGTTTCCCCTCAGCCTCCTAGAAGCAAATAATGGAACATATCTATAATTAAATAACTTTGATGTTCGTTGTAGTAAAAGTGGCCACAGGGCAGAAGAAATTTGGGGATTTATTTTCTAGTTCCATACACTGGAGCACACTTCGCTCAAGGCAGTGTTTCAGAAAAGGAGCTGCAAGAATTCTAAATCTGACTATAAATTGGGGTCCGAAGCAAGCAGCACCACCAAGAAACTACTAAGGTTCTGTACCTCCCGGTGACTTCATTTCCCACAATCCCCGGGAACGAGAACGAGCCTCTAAATGCTGAACTACATCTCCCACAATTCCCGGACCCACGGTCGCGCTGCCGGGCGTGTTTGCGACATTCGTTACCCAGGGCTCCTTTCGGCCTTCGCCCGCGCGGAGGGAAGGTCGAGTACGGGAGCGAGGCTTGGGTCAGCGCCGCCATTTCTCTCGCCTTCGGTCGCTTGTGTTTCACAGAGCGTGCGACTGCGCCATGCTGGGACAGGCCGTGCGGAGGTTCACGACCTCCGTGGTCCGTAGGAGCCACTACGAAGAGGGCCCGGGAAAGGTGCGTGGGCAGGGTGGGCTGGTGGCGACCACCTGCTTCGGAGGGGACGGGTGATGGCTAGTTGGGCACAGACGAGAGCCCCGCTTTCCTCAGCCCTGCCCCGGGGGCCGCCCTCCCTGGCAGAGGGCGATCGGTGCGGGCTGTGCGGAGCTGGAGGTCAGCGGGCCCCGAGGGAAGGTCAAGGGCCGTGGGGGAGCGGGAGGGCCCGCGCGTGTCAGCGGCCCCTCCTCGGGGGCAGGGCGGGCGCCCGCGCGTGGGGCTGCGGTCCCCTCTGGGCGCGGTCGGCCAGGCCCCGGTGCTCTGGAAGGGAACCTGCCGAGAGGCGCTTGCTCCTCGCAGCGCGGTGTTCACCTCGTACGTCCCCCTCCCCCTCCCCCAACAGAATCTGCCGTTTTCTGTGGAAAACAAGTGGAGGCTGCTGGCCATGATGACTTTGTTTTTTGGGTCTGGATTTGCCGCACCCTTCTTCATCGTCCGACACCAGCTGCTCAAGAAATGAGGCTCTGTGAGGTAATCCGTGGTTCACTAATCTTCCAACGCTTTTTGATCTCCCTAAAGCACCAAAATGCTCCAGGGTGCTGTACGCCCACCCCATGCGAGCACACGGCCGGTTTGGTCGTGCCTGTGCTGAAGCCTGAAAGACAGGAACCGAAGTGTTTATCGGTTGTCCGTCAGACGCCCTTCGTGTTGATAACCTTGGGGTCCTTTTAAGCCTAGAGTTGCAGACTGGTTTCATGGGTTGATGTTGAGGAATAGCAGGTTAAATTTCTGGCGCCTTTGCTTCCAATCAGCTCCCTACTGATTCACCTGGGAAAGCCATGGAACGTGTCCTACAGGTGAGACAGTTCTGGGCTCCTGGCTTTATGCTGGCCAGCCCGCAGCTGTTATGGTCACCTGGAGAGTGAACCAGGAGATGAAATAACTTTTTCTAACTCTGCCCTTCAAATAGAAACTCCCATGAGGTTTACAAGAAAAAATTTCTTTAAGAAAGTTTCTTAGGTGTAGCTTTCGTTACTCTCAGTGCCCTGCCTGATGGACTAAGCCATTTTAGGAAAAGCCAGTTCCTGGAGAGGCCTTCCTGCTGAAGGCGTGGCCGGCGGGAAGGCTGAGGGCGGTGAGGCTGGGGTGCAGGAAGCCTGCAGGTGGGAGGAGCAGACTGACAGCTGGGAGTGAGAGGCTTAGTTAGCTTCCTGTGGGCATCTCAGTGTGATAGTCAGGGCAACTCCAACATATACTGTACAAAACGTGTGTTTATATTTAAGAGAGGATTGATTTGTCCGTTGACAAAGGTTTTGGTGCATGTGATGAAGCAAATCAGTATGAATGAAATCATGATACTGTAAACGCTTTCTGATGCACTGGTTAAACTGACAGACATTGGTTGAAGTATATGGCTATCGTAAAACAAATAGGATGTTTTAATGATGGGTAATTTTTTTTTTTTTTTTTTTTTTTGCAGATGATGACGTTTCAAGACGTGCAGCCTGTGAAAGATGGAGAAAGCTCTTGAACTCAGAGCGTACTAGATGTTTGTAAATAAACTGCTGACATGAATGCTGACTGCCTCTTCTCTTCACAGGGAGTGCGATAGTGCAGCACATACATACCTTGGGATTGGAGCCTGACCCACTATTTATTAAGACATAAATGACTACCCTGCTATGTGACTTTAAATATTGAGACATTATTTATTTAATTTTAGCTTTTCTGAGTTAAGACATTGTTGGATATATAAAACTGCAAAGTTAACTATTGTCCTACAATTTTGTTTTGAATTAAAGAGCCTCATTTTCCCCCCCAGACCTCTAATCTAAAGCTGAACTTTTTCGCTTGATAGTGTTGGTCTTGTGTGGACTGAGTGAAAGAACGTTTAAATTGGGAGCATACACTGCAGGAAATATGAATTTTGGAATTTTACCAGTTGGAAACTGACAAGACATGACAGTGACATTGTGTTTTTTAAAAAAATTTTAAGGGCTTAGTTCTTGGCGCCTAGTTTTAGTTGAAAAAGAATTAGCAATTGTATATTCTAATAGTTGATTTCTACTGGATTGTGAGCAAACACTGTCGATTGGAGATCTGTAGTACGGCCTCCACACTTAAGTGAGAGGATGCTGTGTTTTTTTGTGTGGTTCTGCATCACTTCATAGAACAAAGTGGGTGCCCCGGCCAGGCCTCGCCATAGCACAAGGCTTCCTCTTATCCCTAGTGTAAAACTGATTTAGTACAACTTTAGATTTTTGGTTTTATGTTTATGTGCTAGGGCCTATCTGTAGACTACACCATTTGATTTCCCTTATATGAAAGGGAAGACTACTGTTGTTTAAAGTTTTATATCCCAGTAGTAGCTCTTCAGACCAAAATTTGGAGAAGCGCTGGCTTTTTACTAAATAGTTTTACTAAATTACTAAACTCTATTTTACTAAACTCTACTTAGAGTTTAGTAATTTAAGAACTTCATATCTTCCCTGGGTGGTTTTGCTTAATTATTTCTTTTATTGTCATAAGATGGCTATTAAAATTCCAAACATAACACAGACTTGATAATACTTGGCAAGAAAAGTTGCCGTCATGTTACTTGTAAGGGCAAGGAAAAGAAGATAGCCAGTTGGTACCAATATTAGTACAGTGAAGACTTCGATTTATGATTGATTCTGAGAGTTTAACTCATTTGAATATAGTGCAAACACTGTGGTCCTCCCCTAACCTCTAGTAATCATTAAGGCTTTTCATACATATCACCATTCTACGCATTGTAATCCCATCTTCTCCCTTTAGTTCTGATTAATGAAAAAGCAAGTGTATACTTCTGCATGGACCTTTGGAAGTCGTACCGTTCACCAATTCCACTTCCTGCTGCAGACTTGGAGCCTCCACCAGGTTGAGACCACCTAAGTACAGCTTGTCCAAGGTGCGATAGGAGGGTTATGAATTAGTATCATTTGTTTTAAAATAAGTTGGACTAGATAGCTCCATGTGTCAGCCTTACATCCTAGTCTTGATTTGCTCAGCTCGGTATTACCGATAAAATTCCCCATGGGTTCCATGATGAAACAGCTCAGTGTGCTGCTTTCCCACCTGTGGAACCACCTCTGTTCACGCTGAAACCTTCATGCTAACAAGCAAAACAAGCTCACTTTCCCCAGATAGGGTATTTGTAAGCTGAACTATTTTACCAGTATTTCCCAGTGTTTCACCTAAGATGGCAATTTTAATAGTTCCCTTGTCACATGGGCCATGGAACCACTGCATGCATCCATGCATGTGGACATTAGTTTTAGGAAGCAGGATTTTGCCAGCTCCAGAAATTGATAAATGGGCTCTACACACCCATAGTCGCTTTAGCTGAGTATCTTTTTCTACCTGTTAGAGAACAAGATAGCTTGAGAATCCCAAATATTGCGCTTCTACCAGTTTTCTTGGCGAACAGAGCTCTCCATCTCTCCAATACAGTACCAAGAAAGACTTTCTGATTGCAGAGTAGGATGAGCTCTGTGGGACTGCAGTGTTTGACATTCTGGTATATAATACTAATTTATTTCTAGGTCTTCATATAAAGAAGGGACCTTCCTAAATGAAACCCTTCTTGTCCTCCCCAAATCATACTGATGGGCAGGTAAGGCAAATTTCATCTATAAGCTTTGTCTTTAATGTGACTGGAAAATAAGAACCGAGAGCAGCATAATCATGGCTCTTTCCCACACAGACGATGACATAAGCAGGCATGGAAGAGGGGTGTAGCTAAGGAGAGTAGGAATGATTAAATACAGACACAACTGCTCTTGAAGAACAAATAGCACGCAGGACAAGGAGGCACTAAGAGTCAGGTTGAGATCACATCAACTGTGAAAAGACTTACAGGAAATCAGACCAGGGCAGAGTCAAAATGACACCATTTCTGAGTAAAATCAAGGGGCAGAGACATGGTGCTTCTGAAGGCTTAGTGGTAAAGGAGTAAAGAAAAAGGGTTGGGGAGGGGTGACTTTGCTGTAAATACAGAAAGGGGGTTACACATTCCAAGTCTCATAAAAGCATGTGCAACACTGGCTGAAGGAGCTATAGTATGTATCTATGAGAAAGAAGGCTTTTGGGGAAAATGTAAGAGGAAAATACAAATTTAGATTCCTAACATTTTAGTGGATGATAACTTTGCCGTCAGTAAATACCACCCAGAAGCAGGAGACATCTGAGACCAATCCCATATTAGACACCTTTCAGCAGACATTTGTAAAAATTGAAAAATAAAGGACATCTTGAATTAGAAATTTAAAACTTAGAAAAGGAATGGGGTGGGGAAAAGACAAAAAAAGGATCAACTAAACAGGAAAAAGAATAATTCTAAAATTACAAGGTAGACTAGCTGAGAATTTAGTAAAGACTGAAAGGAATGAAAAAGCTATGAAAAGGAAAATTTACAAGAACCCTAAAGCTCAGTGAGTTGAGACTAATCATATATACCTATAAGGTGCAAATTCCTAACAAAATACTTACATTTCAGTGCGGTGGCTCCACAAAGATTCTTCGTGTCTATTCCTGGTTCAGTGTCTGTTCCCATACCCTACAAATATGGCCATTCTGATTAATTATGCTAAATTACGTTACTCTTTTAGAACTTGTTATAACATTTTCACATAGGAATATCTTAAGAGCAAAAAGATTCATAATATGGGATTTATTAAATTGTTACTTGAGGAAATGTGAGTAGGTCAAAAAAAGCTGACCTAAGAAGCAACGGATAGTAGTAATAGTTAAAGTAATGTGTAATGTTGGGTAAGAGTAGGGGATTAAGAGAATGAATATCATATGGTGGGGTGAAAGTACCTTTCCCTCAAAAAGTACCTTAGGTAGCAAGTAGAGAAATAATAGATGAAAATAACAGCATGTCCTTATGGCAACCTGCACCATATTTTGTGTCTGTTAAGGCCCTATGGTTCTTGGGAAATAGTAATCCATAAATGTTCATGAAAGTGCATAGGCTATTCCAAATGGCAGTAAAGGCAATGGAAGACAAGAGAATTGGTCATTCTTCCAGTGGCATAACTGAGTACCCCAGGATAAAACTAAATAGATATGTGGGAACTTAAAAAAATCCATGGAAAAGCAGACTAAAAAGATACTCTGATTTTTTCATGAAACTTCCGAAGTTGTCTTACCTGGCATGTGTGTTGAAGTGTCGGAAGGGAGAGAGAGAGATTGTGGATATGCTGGAAGGATCGGGGTTGGTGGTGGGCTGCAGGTACTTGAACTATAGGAAGAAGAGCAGTGTGCTGAGCCTGCTGCCTGCCTGGTGACTGCTGCGGGAAAGACTGGCCCCAAGAAGTAATCGAGAGGCTAGAAGGTTTTAGCAATGATTAAAATGTGGAACTTGCAAAGGGAAAGTGTTTGTTATAGGAGATACTTAGAACTCAATTCAGGGAAGCACTGCTCTTTGTTCTCCCTAACTGTCCTGTTTTGATAATAGACTTGTTGCACCTGTGCACATCCTTAGATCTTCAACGATTCTTTCATGTTATATGCATGTAGAAAACACAAAAACTAGGTCTTTATATTGGGACTCAAAGAAGAGCAAAGAATTCCTCAGAAGATCAGTCAATGTAAAAATGTATTGGCTTTTCCATCTCCAAAGTTAACTCTGCTCTTCGAATCTAAATTCCTGTATATTCTAAGACCTGTGGTAAAGTCTTGTGATGTCTTGAATACCTCACACTTTCTCTGGCATTATAAAATAACTTTATAGTACAGTTAATCAAGTGATAGTACTCTACAGAGAGCTCATTTTAATATTTAATGAGATGAATATTGAACTGTAAAGATGAACAGCCCGTATTTGCATATGCACCTAGCATGTCGGTGCTTCATCAAAGCAGTAACTCAATCCACAGCTCTACAAGCCTGCCCAATGACTGCCTGACATAAACATTCATGTCACTCAGTCTATCTGTTTAATTCAGAATGTGTGAGGTCCTTTATGGAGGTCTGTGGGAGAAGCACTATGAAAAGCGAAAGGGCAGGAATATGTAGACAGGTGCTTGGTTGCATCCATTTAATACAGATGAAGGATTCTGGGGGGAAAAAGAGCTAAGGAACTCCTTGTGCACACACGAACTTAGCTTATGTGACAACTTTTAGAATGTGAATATTAAGAGATAGGCAGAGGCCGACTTAGTAGATATGTAGGGAAAAACGACAGGTTTTACAAGAGCAAGGTGTGTACTTACAACACATTAACCATACACACATGCACATTTGTATACAGACAGCCATACCTACAAATGGCACAGGTATAATTAGGTGAGATTCCTTAGACTCTGCTCTTGAATGCCCAAAAGAAGCATTTTAGGGCTAGCACAATGGTGTAGGAGACTAAGCAACCACATGCAGTCCTGGCATACCCTAATGGGCACCAGCTCTAGTCCTCCACTTCTGATCCAGCTCCCTGCTAATATGCTGGAAAATCAACAGTTTGCCCAAATTCTTGGGCCCCTGTACTGATGTGGGAGACCTGGAGAAGCCACTGGACCACAGCTTTAGACCAGCCTGGCTCTGGCTGTTACCACCAGTGAACCAGTGGACACAAGATCTCTAGCCTTGTCTCTCCTCTGTGATTCTGCCTTTCAGATTTCTTTTAAAAAACTTTTTTCTAAATATTTATTTAGTTTTATTGGAAAGGCAGATGTACAGAGAGGAGGAGAAACAGGAAGATCTTCCTCCAGTGATTCACTCCCCAAGTGACTGCAATGGCCGGTGCTGCGCCAACCCAAAGCCAGGATCCAGGAACTTCCTTCCAGGTTTTCCACACAGGTGCAGGGTCCTAAGGTGCTGGGACATCCTCAACTGCTTTTCCAGGCCACAAGCAGGGAGCTGGATGGGAATTGGAGCAGCCAGGATTAGAATCAGTGCCTATATGGGATCCCGATGTGTTCGAGGCGAGGACCTTAGCTGCTACACTATTGCACCGGGCCCAAAAAATGTTTTTAAAAGATAAGCATTTTATTTTACAGATAAAGCAACACAGAGCTGCCATTATTTAGATATATGAATTAAATCTGGAAATCTGGACCACTAAGCTCTGGTTATGACAACCTCTTTTGTGCAATTTCTGAGTAATGATAATAAACTCCAAAATATCACTGGAAGAAGGAATCTTCATGAAGACACAACTCTGAACCTCTGAACCTTAGGAGATTTAAAGACTAAGGTTAAGGTGTTAGAATTGAACCTATGAGAAACAAGAATGATTACTCAAAAGGAATAAAAGCAAGAGTAGGGGATTTAGAAACAGTTTTCAGCTGCATTTTTTTTTACAGTTTGCTCACAGAACTATTTGTATACTAATTAAAATTAGTATAAAGAGAAAGGCTTCATGTATTTCATATACACAATTTGTTGAAAATAACCATGCTAAACTCTCCCTCAATTTTCCCTCCCTCCTTTCTAACTTTTTCCTTTAATTTTTATAATGGAATGTACGCAGTTTACTTCATAATTTCTGTTTTTTTTCCTTAGAGAATGCGCTTTAGATACATATAGGTACAAATGGAATATGCAGATATTTTATATGAATGCATTGATATATACGTAATACATACATATAAAGCAATCATTTTAAGAGAATGAGTTAAAAAAAATTAATGGATTGTTAATATAGTAAGTACATGAGTTTCTGGAAGAGGCCGGATACAGACTGAGACACGGTGAAAGAGTATTACTACGTTTCAAGTGTGGTAGAGACTGGGGAGTGAGCCATTTCAGAGCACTTCGTGAGCCAGTAGGACTTCAGGGACAGGGCGACAGTGCCTTCAGCTTTTCGTGACCCGTTTGTGTGGGGTAACTGAACATACAGATTATTTGATAAATTGGGATGACAACATATATTATTCAGAAGAAAACTTAATGGAGGACTAATTTCATATTAAAAACATGCTTGTTATAGTGAGAAAAATAAAATGATAAAAATAAAAGGATTTTTGTATAAAACAATGAACTATAAAATGATTTTCATTATTCAAAATCAACTAGTATGTATTAAACAATGAGGAATGTATTCTGGAACTTTCACGTTATCTAATGCAGGATATGGACACTCTGTTCTGTAGCTTGCTGGTTACAGATAGTTCCTAGTGCATTTTGTCATATTCTTGCTGATTCTTCCTTGATCAGAAAACTGGCTGTTGACCTGACTGCGTATGTGTGTATGCTCAGTGTGTCTGAGGAGATTCAATCTCTTAGCAGTGGGTTCTGCAAAGGAATCACTAAAAATGTATGCAATGGGGCCTGGCGCGGTAGCCTAGTGACTAAAGTCCTTACCTTGTATGCACCGGGATCCCATATGGGCACATGTTCGTATCCTGGCTGCTCCACTTTCCATCCAGCTCCCTGCCTGTGGCCTGAGAAAGCGTAGAAGATGGCCCAAAAGCTTAGGAACCTACAATTGCATGGATCAGCTCAGCTCCAGCCATTGCAGCCACTTGGGGAATGAACCATCGGACAGAAGATCTTTCTGTCTCTCTTCTCTGTACTTTTGACTTTCCAATAAAAAATGATTTAATAAGTATTTTTTTTTAAAAAATGCATCCAGTGATGTTAGGAATATCTCTTTCCCTCTAGATCCTCAAGTAAATATATTAGTGAAAACTAAAAGTGTGCCCCATTATAATCCTTTAAAAACAATAATTATATAGATATTTTCATGTTTTATTTCTTCGACAGTTGAGAAGATGGTGAAGATGGGTGACATTTTACGAATGGGAAAGTTTAGAGGTGTGTTGACTAAGAATACAGTATCACTATTAAGTGTTTAGTTTTTAAGACAATGTTGTGAAATAGGTGCTTATCATTTATATAGCAAATATTTATTAAGCACCTTACCACACAGTCAGGAGCTTGATATATACATCAGGGAAGACAAGAGGTCCTGCCATTGTCAAGCTTATACCCTAAAAGGCAAAAAACAATAAGGAATACACATAATAAATTTTACAACATCTTAGAAGCTGAATGTTTGGGGGTACCAAAGGGGAATTCATAAGTTCAAAAGTAGGCCTCATTGAGAAGTTAATACCTGAGCCAAGTCCTGGGAGCAGAGTATTCAGAATACAAGGGAAAGCATATGAGGCTCAAGGAACAGCGGAGTAATCAGAGAGCTGGTACAAGAAGGTCCCTGGAGGCTGCGCAGGCTCACACGGCCTAAGAGCACAGTCACTGGGAAGCCAGGGGAAAAGAGGGCTGTGGCTGCCACACTGAGACCAAGGACCATAGGGAGCAAGGTAGGGAGCTAAAAATAAGGAACCCTGTGTTATGTTAGCCTGGGTTCTCCAGAGAGATGGACCTCAGTAGGGAGGCAGACCACGCCCCCACACACACACACGGAGACTTGGGTGAAGAACTTCTGTGATTGTGAGGGCTCATGATCTGAGGTTGACAAGCTGGCATCTCAGCAGTGTGGTTGCAGCTAAAACCAGAGCATAAGGAAGGGTGATGACGTAAACTCTAATCCGTGTCTCAGTGAGAACTGATGTCCCAGCAAAGTGATTCAGCTAGAGAAGGAGTTGGTGCAGATTCAGCTTTTCCTCTACCCAGGACTTCCAACACAGTGTGTAGGGCCACCCACACTTGGGAGACAATCTGCTTTGCTCAGTCTGCAGATTCAAAGCCAAACTCATTCTGAAACAAACCTCACAGAAGCACTTGGAAGCAATGTGTATAAAGCATTTTTTGATAAAATAATGCTGAATCAAATTCCTGGACACTCTAAGGACTCGGTCGAGTTTTGTTTTTACAATTCAGTTATTTATTTGAAAGGTAGAGTTACAGAGAGCGAAACAGGGAAGCAGAGATCTTCCATCTGTTGGTTCATTCCCCAAATGGCTACAATAACCATGGTTGTGCCTGTTCAAAGTCTGGAGCTTCATCCTTGTCTCCATGTGGGTGCAGAGCCCCATGCACTTGGGACATCTTCCACTGCTTTCCCAAGCATGTTAGCAAACAGCTCGATCAGAAGTGGAGCAGCCAGAACTGGTGCCCATTTAGAATGCTGACACCACCAGGGGCAGCAGTGATGCATAAATTAACCCTTAGCTATTGTGAAGGTGGAACAAATTGGGTGTCCTGAGCAATACATATTTCCTGATGAGTTTGTTGTTAAGACATAACAGTAAGAATTTCTCTAAAAAGCTGTTGTGGTAACCCAAGCAAGGGTGCCTCTGGACACATCCGGGCCTTTGAATTCAAGCCTGGCTCATGCCCCAGAAGCGCTTGGTCACGGGACGGCACTGGTGTAGGGAGCTGATCAAACCAAGCCCTCCCTCCCAAAGCAAGCGTTTATCTTGTAAACAGTGTATCTTGTTCTTACCTGCACACATTCCAACTTCCCTTTATTTCTCTGATTTTGCCTTTTAATTTAAAAAATCTTCTGTCTGTCTGCTTTCTACATATGACCCTTATCTAAGATAAGATAAATTCTTCTATTTGGAGCAAAGCCTACGCTGATAACATAATTATGAGAAAAAAATCAAGCCATTGAAAAAGGTCCTGTCTTAAGAAGCCAAAAGCTTATTAACTTTCAGTTTTTGATATGGAAATGAGAATGAGCTTATCGTGCACCACATATTGTTTACATGTCAATTAAATTTACAATGCCTACAAATACTTTAATTACACCACTATTAAGAGCTGGAAAATTATAACTAGTCATGATTCAGATATTCAGTCCTAGATGTCAAAGTAAATTACAAGGGAGGAAAAAAACAAACATCATGCAAAATGGCACAATGATGTGCACAGCCGCTATGACAAATAGCCATCATTGCCTCAATTTTCGAGGATATATGTTTTATCAGAATCATTTCTGTTGTTGGCATCAGCAAGGCTAATCTCAAGGCAGAGTGTGTGGTTCTCAAGGCAGATCCCTGTGGTTGTGATAATGAACTGAATTCAGGAAGGAATGACCAGAGCCAAAGCTAGAGAAAGAGCAGTATTTTAGGCTGTGCTGTGCTAAACCTATTGTTTATGAAAAGAAGACTCTGGCTTAAGATATGGGGAAGATAATACTCGGGAAGCCTCGGTTCCGGATGTTCTCAGGTCCCCTCTGGCCCTGGCTTAGAATTTACATTGCAAGGGCTTTTACCATGGGCATTTAACTTTCTATTTATTTTCACTTCATGCAGTAATAACAGAACTTTGAGAGTTTTACTTTAGCCTTTACAAGAAAAATCAGAAATACCAACTCCAATTTACAATCAATCTGAGTTGACAGCTGCTCGCTCCTCACTAGAGACTGCGCAGTGCATGAAAGCAGAAGCAAGCCAGGCGTGAGTTTGTTCCTCTAAGGTACATTTTGGGCCATGTGTATGTATTTAAGTTTCCTTACTACTAAGATTGGGTCAGACAGCAGGGAGTCAGACTGCCTTCTTGAAACCATGACTTGTTCAGGATTTATATAAGGAAGTTGCCTTTGCTTATTGAAGATGTCTTACTACTGCTTTGAGCCTTGGGACGCTTTCACAGTTCGGGAGATCCAGAAGAGGCTCCTGGCTCCTGGCTTCAGATTGGCTTACTTCTAGCTGTTGCAGCTACTTGTAGAGTGAATCATCAGACAGAAGATCTTTTTCTCTGTCTTTCCTTCTTCTTTCTGTATATCTGACTTTCCAATTAAAAAAAATAGTAGAAATAAATCTTTAAAAATAAAATCCCAATGAGCTATTCATGTTGAAGATTACTTACAAGCAATTAAAAAATTCTGAGTGTCTACACTTACACAATAGTCAGCAGGGGCAAAGGTTGGATCTTTGCGTGTGCCATTTCACCTGCACTGTCATTTAAACTTTCTGCACAGTTAGGGACTTGATAAGCGTTTGCTAAACAAAGACGTGTGCCTGAGACGAGAGCAGTCACAGGCACAGCTGTCAGCTACTCTGTGTTCCCTCTGTGATGGTTACTTTCTCACTTTCCACTCAGGCAATTCTTACACTGTCTGCTAAAGCCTGGATGTTAATTGTGCCCCCACAGGCCTATGCACTGAAGTCTTGGCCCCAGGGTAGTACCAGAAGGTGGGGCTGGAACCCTGAGGAGATGAGGGCCCAGGGGAGTTCCTCTGTCAGTGAGGGTGTGGCTGTGAAAGGCAGTTTTCTTAGAGAAGCCCGCCTGTGGCCCATCCACTCTCTACTCTTCCAGAGGTTCAGGCTGTTAGCCCCCGGGGTACTCTGACCAGAACACATCACTTCATTCAGACTTAGAGACCCAACACTATAATCTAAGTAAAGATTTTACCAAGAATATGAATTTATCAGTACAACATTTTAAAAAAATATCTACATAAGTCATAACAAAAAGTCCATTTTTACTTCTTTGCTGTAGAATATGCTTTGATGGAAGAATCTGTTTCCAATTAAAAAAACTGGATCATATTAATTGTTATTTCGATTTTGCATCAAATGGATGCAATTTGTGTTCTATCCAAGGTTTTTCAGCCCACATACTCCATCAACATCCTCTGCTGGTGTTTTTCCAAAGCTGTTTTTGATGGGTTATTATCTGAGAGTGGGTTGGTTGAATCTCAGCTTAATACATTTTCTTAACTCCAAAAATAATTTCTTTTCAAACTAAGAGAAAGTATTACTCTTGCTGTTTCTAAGGTTGTTATAGCAAGATATGCCTGACACATGTATTTCACACAAAGTATGTAAATCTGTTTGGGGCTTAATAAATAATGATCATTAACCTAGTTAGTTCTGTTATGATTTCTCTATCATTCTGAAAGGGGAAAAATCATAAGGAGTAAAGAAGGGAAGACTGAGAGTTTAATGGAAAACTTTAACCTCCAGGCAGATAATCCAATTCAGCACTGAATCTGGGCTTTGGATCTTTGACAGCCAAACCATCTGGGTTTCATTTGTTTGTCAATCACCTCTGAGTGTGCCAGCCGGCAGGGTCTGAGTTTGTCAGTTTGGTGAATGCAGGGTTGAAGGGAATGTGGGTTCCATGTAGATGGAGCACCCACCCAGCGTCCAGCTGCCTCTGCCACACACAAGGCTGCTGAATCAGGACTGTAAGAGAGGCACCATGCCATCAAACAAGGAACCAAGCACTAGTTTGTCAGCTGTGCTCGATATTGGTTACTCAGTTATTGCATGGAGAGCCATATTGGTATGACATACTTATTTGTAAGTGGTTTACCCAGGATCATCCTCAGCGTTGCAGGAACTATTAGAAAAACCTGCTCTTGCTAGCAGATATCTCTATGCACTGGCCACTTGGCTTCTCTAGAGGCTTTTATGCTGTGGGCAAGCTAATTAAGTCATTATGTAAGTGAAATTTGGAAAGAACAAAAGCTGGGTTTGATACTGTGATAGAATAGAGCTAAATCAAAGGAGAACTTACCTCAAATAAAATTCCAAGTTCCTTTGTAAAAAGGAGGGAGGCAGAATTGCTTTATTTAACTTCCTCCCCTCAACCAGGAAACTGTCTCAACTACCTCTTCAAACTAGACTTTGATCTCACTGCTAGGCCCACTTTGATACATCATTTCTTTGCTTTTTGAGAAAATAATACAATTTAGTTCTTAGCATGGGAACTTATGAAGCTTAGCTTCTGGATATTTAATGGTAATTTAAGGAATTTTTCAAAGGGATATTTTTATATGAAGAGCAAGTTTCTTTATACCTGCTATAAGCAAAATCCACTTAAGAGGCAATTCCTGGTTTTCATTTCTAAGATGCCATTTTGAGTGGCATGAATCAGCAGAAATCTCTCTTTTGTCTGCCGAGGAAGTACTTCAGTAGCAGCCTGAGGGGGCTTCCCATTAGGATATTTGTAGAAAATTTTAGACATTCCAGGTGTAGAAAGATGCAAAATGAGCCTGTGAGAATAACTAAAGAAAAAAAAATCCAAGCTCAACACAGTAGCCTAGAGGCCAGAGTGTTCATGATGCATGCCCAGGATCCTCTATGGGTACCAGTTCCTATCCTAGCTGCTCCACTTTCCATCCAGCTCCCTCCTGTGACCTGGCAAAGCAGTAGAGGATGGCCCAAAGCAGAAGATGAAGCTTGCACCCACGTGGGAGACCCAGGAGAAACTCCTGTCTCCTGTGTCCTGGCTCAGATCAGCTCAGCCGGTTGCAGCAGCTTGGGGAGTGAACCAATGGACAGACAGTCTTTCTCTATGTCGCTCCTTCTCTGTGTACATCTGACTTCCCAATAAAATAAATAGATAAAAGATTTTGAAAAATGGAGAAAGTTAAAATGTAACCAAAATAACAAAAATTACCTTAAAAAAATAAAAAAAAATCCAAAAAATAAATGACTTAGAAGTTGGCAAAACAAGGATAATCAGAAATAGGGTTAAGAGAATATATCCAAAAAGTCAAGGCGGAAGGAAGATCAGCTTCCTTCTACTGAGTTCTAAAGTGATTCCGCTAATCAGGATTCAAATCAAGGATAAATGATGAGAACAAAGCAGATTCAGAGGAGGAGTTTAGGGAGCAAGTCGGGAGAAGGATCATGGGCAAACACAGTTCTGCTGCACATTTCTCAAGGTAATAATTGATTATTCCACAGTAGTAACCATGGGGGAATCAGAGTTCAATGTGTATCGACCGCAGCTTGCCTTCTAGCCATGCACTGCCTCCTGGTAACCATGGCTGCACACCTTTTATTTGGCTGGAATAAACATCATTGTTACAATGGGTTTTTTTGGCTGTTGAGAAAGTAAGTCTTTTACCTTTCACACCATGTATATAAAGCAATCTTCTGTGTTTATCTTAGAATCCAATGAAAGAAGAATAAGGGTGAATGCTAGATTCTATTATAGAGAAGAAGAACTTATTGTTACCATGCTAACATTAAGTTAGCAAAGCCTCCCCTCCTCTCCTCTGTTTTCTTCAGTTTAACATGAAGTTTAAATGAAGCTTCCTCCTGAATCTTTGTAAGGTTTGGAATTAAAACAATTAATTAAATGGATTTAAAATTAAAGAAAACCTTGCCCTTAATTGGAAATCAATTGGCTTTAGATAGTTCAGAAACTAAACAGTGGGGAGATACAATCAAAGTAAATTTAGATGATAAAAAACCTGTGTCTTTGCTTTCAGCCTGATGAAGAACAGCATTAGTGGAAGAGATGCCTGGAACTTGCGGCATGGTTATAAAGCATCAACAGTGAAGCCTTAAATCAAGCGACAACGAAAGCTGTGTATTTCCAGAAGCACACTTGCTAGCTTCTCTCCACATCAGTGTCACTTCGTTAAATCACTGCAAAACACTTCAAAGTATCATGGTAAGTCATTTAATAAAAATTACTCAATGTACCTGATCCAATTTTTTTCTACAGCTAGATAATAAAGAGGTGAATATGAGAACATTCAAAATTGTATCCAGTCCCTTGGTTTTAACTACTGTTTAAAATCTGAGGTCTTCCAATTCTCTGCTTTCAACATTGCCGTCTCCACTGAAACCCAGCCACACAGACAGCTGAACACGTGCAGGTTATCAATATCAAGCCCTAATTGTGATAGCCCAGACAATAGCAAATGGCCACAGTAAGACTAGGTCTTCCGAAACATGTCTGGGACATTTCTGTACCTGACTTTGCCATAACCTTGAGTTCTTGGATAGTCTGGAAAGCAAAGAGAGAGTGCTTATCACCAGATGGTATCTCACTGCAAGATGAGCTCTTGCTTTTCTTTTACAGCTCAGGCAGTAAACTGATTGATCCAAATTGTTTTCTGTAAATAGAATTGGAAGGACCTGTTTGCTTGGTTCTGTTGTTCACTACCAGGCAGGATGCAGCGCTTGCTGATTGGATAGTTTAAAGTGCATGATGCTTTAACTGGGTTTCTGTGTTTCTGCCACTATGGTTGACTGATGTAAGCTCGATTGACTCAGTGATTCACAGCATGTGCAATGCTGTCTTAGTTGATTGGAACCCCTGAACATGGCTGATTGGGTCTACTCTCCTGTTCTATACATAGTGGAATGGGACAGTCTGCGGTCAACTCCTGAGCTTCTGAGAGTCAGCCACTGACTTGTTTCTGGAATAGTCACTTTTCAACACTAATATGAGTTTTAAGTTTTCTCAATATAGAAAAGGATGTAATTCCTCAGATCAATAACTAAAGCATCCTTATCCCTCTTTTCTCAGACTTCACCTGCAGTGTATTTAATCTTTCCTATACATATCCATTTTTAATAAATATTTATTGATTAATGTATTGGAAAGTAAGAGTTACAGAGAGGGACAGAAAGATATATTTTGTTCACTTTTTCATTTCCCAAATGGTCCAAGGTTAATGCCAGAAGCTAGGAATTTCATCTAGGTCTTCCACAGGTGGCAGGTGGCCATTTGCTAGGAATGGACAGAATGACCAAATGACAGAGGCCCAGTCCAGCAGGAGGCTGGGCCGGATTTATTTATTTTTTAATATTTATTTGTTTTGGGAAGGCACATCTACAGAGAGAAGGAGAGACATAGAGAAAGATTTTCTTCTGGGTCTCCCACGTGGGTGCAGGTTCCTAAGGACTTGGCCTATCTGCTGCTTTCCCATGCCACAAGCAGGGAGCTAGATTGGACGTAGAGCAGCCAGGACAAGAACTGGTGCCTATGTGGGATCTCAGAGCTTGCAAAGGTGAACATTTAGCCACTGAACCATCTCATCTGGCTCCTGGCTGGCTTTTATAGTTGGGATCTTTGGGGTTTAACCACGGGTTGGGGGATTCCTAGAAAATGGAATAGATGAAAACCAGTATCAGCATTTTTTAAAAAAGATTTATTTATTTATTTATTGCTAAGTCAGATATACAGAAAGGAAGAGAGATAGAGAAGAAAATCTTCCATCCAATGATTCACTCCCCAAGTGACTGCAATGGCTGGCGCTGCACCGATCCGAAGCCAGGAGCCAGGAACTTCCTCCAGGTCTCCCATGCAGGTGCAGGGTCCTAAGGTGTTGGGCCATCTTCGACTGCTTTCCCAGGCCACAAGCAGGGATCTGGATGGGAAGTGGAGACACTAAAACTAGAACTGGCACCCATATGGGATTCTGGTGAGTTCAAGGTGAGGACTAGCTGCTAGGCCACAGTGGCAGCTAAAGGGCATTTTGAGGGCATTTTGACATTGGTAGGTCTTACTCCCTGGGATCGAGGAAATGCAGGCTGGCTGGAAGCAGGTTAGTCTGGCCTTTTGAGTTGCAATGTAAGAACCCCTGGTGGGAAATTGTCTGTTTACCATCCTGAGGGCATAAGGCACAAGCTGGTGTTCTCTCTTCCTTCTGCAGGGCTCCCAATCCTTGGACCTGCTTCTCCTGCTTTCCCAGGCCGTGACAAGGGAGCTGGATCGGACGTGGAGGATCAGGGAGGTGAGACCATCTTGGCCACACCTTCAGGTTGGCAGCATCAGTATTGCCCACCCATTTCCTAACTGATTAAGAGACCACCAGTGGGGAACATCTTACTTGGTTTCTGCCCAGATAAGGAGGGGTCAGGGAATGGTTAAAATCCCATTACCCTTCCTCAAACCTTTGGCGTCTCTACCTCTCTCCTTTAAGAGGCACCCCACTACCTGGCTTTCTCTCTGGAGGTGCTTTCCCTTCCTTCTCCCTTCCCTGCTCACCTGGTCCCTTCACAAATAAGCTTTTTATTTCTATAATAAGCTGAGGATAGAACCCACTGGGCTTTTTTGGTAAGCCCATACCCATATGGGATACTGGTATCACAGACTCTACATGTTGCAGCATACACTTACTTTTTTTTTTTGTTCTCTCACTGTGAGCTTACCATTACAGCCCTGGTCTCCTAGTCTGTACCAAAATCCACCCTTCTGTCCTTCCTGCTTCTATTCTTGCTTCACTACAGACCAGTGCACACACAGCCTAAGGTGTAGTTGTCTGAGGGTTTCAATCACACAGCTCCTCAGCACCAACTTCTTAAGTGAATTCCCTCTCTCATTACTCATCAGCTCAAACCCAGGCTCTTAGAGAGTCACACATCTCTTCAGTGCCATTTCCTGCCACTGCTCAGCTCTCACAGTGACCTTGTTCCTCCTGGAGGGTTTTGCGTTTTCTGATCTCTTTCTGTTGGCATGCTCTCCCGTCCCCCTCCATTCACATTTTCTTGTGGCTATGTTCTTTTCATTTTCTGCTGAAATGTCATCTCCTCACTTCTAGTGTAGCACTACTTTATTTTCTGTGGAGCACATATATCAGAAACTCTATTACTGACGTAGCTGTCCATAGTCTGTTTCTTCTTAAGCAAAAGCAAGCAGGCTTTTCATATTTATATTCATGTCATTCAACTTCCTCATACTGAGTGAGAAGAAACTCAGGCCCATCCAACCTGAGACAGTACAGCAGGATTCTCCAGGATCCATTTCCCCACACCCACGTCTTTATGGCTGTCTAATCCATTGATTCCTCCTCACCTGAGAGCATCCAAGCTCTCTAAACTCTTGACCAGACCTTCAAGTGGATGGCACAAGAATTGCCCAGCCATTTCCTAACAGGTTGAGACACCGCCAGTGGGGGACAGGGGGATGTGTGAACATCTTACCCGTAGGTTTCCGCCCAGACAAGGAGGGGTCAGGGAATGTTTAAAATCCAAAGAGCCTTCCAGAAACCTTGGTATCCCTTCCTCTCTCCTTTGAAGAGGAACCCCATCTCCCGGTTCTCTCTTGCAAGTTGCTTTCTCCTTCCCTCTTCTTTCCACAGTCACCTGGTCACTTTGCAAATAAAACTTCTCTGTCTGCAACTGACTCCCAGTGTTTTATTTCTATATTACGTGGAGGAAAGAACCCACTGAGCTTCTCTGGTAACATTTCCCAGTTATGTTATGTTTTGTTTTTAACTTTCAGAACATGCTCCAATCTCAAATCACTGCCACGGCGGAGGGAGAGGCAGGGACTCAGAGTGAAGGCTGGGAGAAACTTAAGTACATAGTAAATCATTGAAACTGGAGTTCAGGCATGATGGTGTTCCGCTGTTATCTTGGCTTTATTATTCAGGAAAACTTTTTGCGAGAACTTGCCATTTTGAAAATCTAAAATAGATGAAGTGTTTATTTGCTTGATGGAGCAGAGCAGGCAGAATGCAGCTGTTTCTTTGCTGATGTCCTGACAGTGCCCTAAAACCATGAGGAGTCCTTACCTGCAACAGGAGACCAGGAGGAAGCAGAAGGCAGGCAGATATCAAACACTAGGCCTTGTGTGGGCTCGCCCTAGGCAGTGATTGATACAGATTCAAATTCTGAAGTTGTTGTTGTGTTTTGTTGTGATGTTTGTGTTGTGTTTTACCTAAGACTTCAGCATCAAAACTGACTAATTGATTTTCACGATCTGATTTAAAAATAATGAATCACTTATAACTGGAGGAATTACGGAAAGAAATAATAGAGTTCATAGAAATTTTCATTTAGCAAGAATGTGGCAAGGCAAACATGATTAGCATGTTTCTGGCTTCCTTGTGATACATAAAAAGGAAGAAGAAAGTGTTGTTCCTGTCTCTTGGTCTCCATAATCCCCATCACCCTATGTTCTTATTTAACTGCCCTACTCAGAGACAAATATCCAATCCAACCCAGCTACTGGTAGCACAACAACCAGGATGACATGGCTCTTGCAGGCAACACAGAAGTGCTATTGCTGAGCTTTCAAAATTGCCACAAAAACTTATGAAAATTGATTTGTCATATATATAGGAGCCCCTACAGTATGCAAAGTGCTATATCATGCTGTCTGAGGGAGGGATAAAAGAATTTTAAAAATGGTTCTTTCCTAAAGTAGAGATGAAATAAGTACACTAGTCTTTCTTATCTATAATGTTTATGCTCATTTGTACTTTGGATAACTTCAGTTGAAAATATTCAATGGAGTGTCATGGGTTGACACCCTCCTGAGCAGTGAGATCATGTCATGTGAGCAGCAGCTCATCCTCTCTGTCCATACCCACGCTCGGTATGTGCCTGCCCGGCATTCACTTAGTGTGTCTCTCAGTGATTAGATCAGCTGTTGTGCTAACATGGTGCTTTTGCTCAAGTAATGCTTATTTTATTGGATCATGAGCCCTAAGTACAAAAGCAGAAATGCAAAAGTAGCTCTAGGACAGAAAATATGCAAGGACAGGATAACTCTGCTCCTAAGTGGCAACGTTCCAGAGCAAACACGGGAACAACATAGTATGTGTAGGTGTGGATGACATGGTTTCCAGCATCCACCAGGGTTCTGGGACACATACCTCGTGGATGGAGATGGTGAGGTGGCGGGGAGAAGGGCTTTGTATACAAATAATCACAATGTACATTCTCATGTGGTAAGTACTCTATGAGAAACATCAACAAAATGCTGTAGAATTTCAGAAAAACAAATAGGCTACAACACAAGGAGGGGGTGAACATCAATGTCTCCTGGAAGGGGTGACAGGTACACCATGTCTTCATGGCTGAGTGTATTCTGATGGACACAGGTGGGCAAAGAGCTCTGCAGCGGAGACCTCCCTGATGTAGAGAAACATCAAAGGAATGGTGGCAAGAACTGCCAGGGCTGATTTGGGAAGTGAGAAATAACTCCCTTTGACTAGCAATTAAGGTGTATGTTAGAGAGGAGTTAGCTGAAGGACATAAATGTCAGGAATTATAGTATGGACCTGATCCTCCAAGGAATAAGGCGCTACTTTGTGTTGTGAACAGAAAGATTATACACTTAGAGCTGTGCATCCGGGAAGATTAATCTGCCAGTAATAGACAGAATTGATTGGAGTAGAGAAAAACTGAAAGGCCAATTAGGAGGCTATTATGATAGTTCAACTAAGAGATAATGAAAGAAGGTACCTTGGGAATGGGGCAGAAGAGACCAATTCAGAGATTAGGGAAGTCAGACCAATGGGATTGGGTGATTAACTGCAGGTGAATGGCGAAACAGATATAGGAGATAAGGACGCTAATAAGGTTTTAAGCTTGAGAGACTTGGAAAATTATACCTTTGGCAGAAGTGAGTTCTGTGGAATCTAGCGGAACTATTTCAAAATTGTAGTTGGAACTTAGTCTTCAGACATGTCTGAGACATGGTATAGCTGGAAATGCAGGTTCAGAGCCCTGGAAAAGGCTCCTAACTGGCAGTGTGTGTGAGTGTGTGTGCGTGTGCGTGTGTCCCACTAAAGCAGAAATAGTTGCCCCTTACGTAATAATTACCCCTTACGTATACGAGGGGATGCAAAATGTTCAAGGAAACAAACTTTGGTAAAATAAATAAATAAACAAACTATTCTGTGGATTTGAAAACTTTTAGTAACAAAACAAACCTACCTTCTACCTCTCCCTTCCTTAGCTTTGTGAGGTGCCCTCACGGGAGATGAGATCTGTAAGAGAGCAAGAAGGAGTTGTAGTTCACTGCAGTAAACTGCCTGCCTGGCTATTCTGTACAGGAGGATCAAGCAACCGCCTCCTCTCCAGCCAGCCTCTCGTGAGAGCATTTTCTTGCTTTGAAAATGAAATCTAGAATCTCAAGATTCTCTTACAATTGTGTTTTAGGTTTTTTTTTTCTAATTTCAGATGGAACTTTTGGATATATTTATTCTTCTCTCAAGTATAATTTTGTATGACCCTGTATAATGACAGGATACTCACTACCAGTTGCAAAACTTAGACCTATTTACACATTTTCTCTGAGAAAACTTGAGTATATATTTTATCAGCAAACTCAGTGAACTAAGGAATTGTGCATTTATGTATTCAAAAAAGTATCTGAGGGTCAAGTGTTATATATTAGACATATAAGCAGAGGTGAAAGATGTATAGAAAAAAATCTAAGATTAGTTAGATTAAGGAAATATTATAATAGAATTAGAAAATGCCCATTTTGTAAACCCCAATACAGGAACTAACCTAGTCAGAAGTGAATGGCTGCTAAAACTATTGAATAAAAGGTTTTTTTTTTTTTCCAAGATTTATTTACTCTTACTGGAACGTCAGATATTCAGAGAGGAAGACAGACACAGAAGATCTTCGTCTGCTGATTCACTCACCACGTGGCAGCAACAGCCAGAGCTGAGCCAATCTGAAGCCAGGAGTTAGGAGCCTCTTCTGGGTTTCCCACGTGGGTGCAGCGTCTCAAGGCTTTGGGCCGTCCTTGACTGCCTTCCTAGGTGATAAGCAGGGAGCTTTCTATCTGTCTTCCTCCCTATATAACTGATCTACCTTTCCAATAACAATACATATTTTTAAAAAATCAATTAGAATGCACAAGGAAAAATAATTTGGCATGATTAATCATTAAAATTATTAACTAAAACCACAACAAAGTATTACTTCACACATTGAAGTTTTAAAATTTGAGAGGCCCAGTGCGATGGCCTAGCAGCTGAAGTCCTTCCTTGCCTTAACGTGCCAGGATCCCATATGGACACCAGTTCTAATCCCCGCAGCCCTGCTTCCCATCCAGCTCCCTGCTTGTGGCCTGGGAAAGCAGTTTAGGACCGCCCAAAGCCTTGGGACCCTGCACCCGTGTGGGAGACCTGGAGAAGTTCCTGGCTCCTGGGTTCGGATCAGCGCAGCACCGGCTATTGCAGTCACTTGGGGAGTGAATCATTAGATAGAAGATATTCTTCTCTCTCTCTCTCCTCCTCTCTGTATATCTGACTTTCCAATAAAAATAAGTAAATCTTAAAAAAAATAAAAAGTAAAATTTGAGGGAGAAAAGCAGACAACTGTCAATGCCAAGTGCTGACAGAGACGTGGGGTAATGGTGACTCAGCACTGCTGGTGTGAATGCACACCTGTTCCTGGACGTGCACTGTGGTGACAGAATGCTGCCTTAAGCATCAGCTGGCCTCAGGAGAGAAGCTGCTGTTTACTCCATGAGGCTACACAGCTGCTGCACCTCTCAGAACCTCCTGGTGCGTGTCCGTCAAAAGGCCTGCTCTCTGAGTGACAGGGTGACTTTGAGGTTCCCCGGCAAACTTGTTTGTGGACAGCCTTTGACATAATCTACCAAGTGCTCCACAATCCTTCTGGGTTAAATCATTAAACCTCCCGACAACTCCATTTAAATGCAAATTTGTTGTATAAGAAGGTATAACATTTGCGCATATATTAGGATTTTAGCCATGCATTGGAGTGAAAGTTTGCTTTTTCCCTGAGGAAAAAAATAAAAGGACACTTCCCAAGTGGATACTAAAGCTAGGAAAGGGGAGGTGTTGGAAGGAAGGGAAAGGGCCTGACCCAGTGGCTCCGTAGCTAAATCCTTGTGTCACATGTACCAGGTGCCAGTTTGTGTGGCAGCTGCCCTGCTTCCCATCCAGCTCTCGTGGCCTGGGAAAGCAGCAGAGGACGGCCCAAAGCTTTGAGACCCTGCACCTGTGTGGAAGACCCAGAAGAGGCTCCTAGTTCCTGTCTTTGGATCAGCTCAGTTCCAGCCACTGCAGCCTCTTGGAGAGTGAACCAACAGATGGAACAGCTTTCTCTTGGTCTCTTCTCTCTATGTAACTGCTTTTCCAATACAAGAAAGGGAAGAGAATGGATGACTCTGAAGTACCCGTTTAGAAGGGTGGTGCAGTTTGAGGTACAATAGAGATAGGAGGGCCTGAAAACCCACAGGTTGACTTCTAGCTACTGCCTAGGCCTGGTTCCGTGAGGGGTGGGGAAAAGAATTTATATCTGAAGATCTTTTCTTTTTTTTTTTTTTTTTTTTTTGGTTGTTGTTGCTAAGTCAGATATACAGAAAGGAGGAGAAACAGAGAGGAAGATCTTCCATCCA